CCCTGGTCAACTTGGGCATATCTCGCGGCTAACCTCCACCAATCACTGAGGGGCCGGCTATGGGTGGTCCAGGATATAGTCTGGTGTAAGCTGGGAAACCTGGGTATCAAAAAAAAATAAAAAATGCCAAGGCCTCAAAGCCACAATCAAAGAACTTTTAATATAATGCGCGGGGTGTGACTCGAACCACTGATCTCCTACACAAATTTCACACTTTTCATCAATTGAACACTTCATCTGAATTAATGATTTTTTTCACATATTATATTTATTATATAAATATCTAACACTTTTTTCAATTTTATCTGTGTTATATACTCATCCAAATGATGGTCACCTTCCCCGTTGTATTTATCTATCTTTGGTAAAAAAAAAAAAAAATTATTAGGAATGGGTATTTCCTCCATCTCTTTCGAAAATGGTAAAGTTTCATCATCGTCATTTAGCTTGTAAGACCTTGTGAGTCTATTTTCGTGCTCCTCATAATGGGGAGCAAAATAAGTAGTCTTGAGCAAGCTCTCTACCTTCCTTTCAGTATGATGATAGTTATGATTATACTTTTTTCCATGAGAACTTACCTCATCTTCTAACCTGTCGAACACGCTTGGGTATCCAATGGCTTGGTGGTCTTGACGTCGCTAGTGAGGCAAACAGTTTGACTATAGATACTCGAACATTACAATTATTGCTAATCAAATGGAAAAAAAATCTACTTTTGGACCCATAATGATGCTTTTTCAACAGTTAGTGCTCTAAAGCTTTCGACCATTTCTTGTATGGTCCTTGCTGTGGAAATCTTCCTTTGCTGGCGACGACGTTTTTCTGGGGAGCTAGCTACACGCAATTTTACTGAAGATTCTTTCCATTGCCTCTTCAGATTGATATCAATATCTTTGTGATTATTGCTGGGAATTTCAGTTCCAACCTCCAATGCCTCTACTTCGACGGGATTCACCTCCGTTTGACTCATTTTTGAACAAATTTTCCAGTGGTTTTAACTTTGAACAAACCATTGGTAAAACTCGACCCTCGTCGTCTGATGAATATACATTGCATTTTGTGTCATTTTCGAACCAAGAGTTTCAGAGTTGCACTTTGAGCTCTCTCTTGAACTCTTACAAGTCACAAAGGTCAATTCGTTTATCATTTAATTTGTAAGTTAGTAGTTTGTTATTTTAAATTTTAGAGGTAAAATGAGAGTGCTATATTTTAATAATTTTTATGATATTAAGGTCACTATAGGAGCTACAAATATTGTTAATTTCATAAGAGTATTTAGTAGACAATTGTATTGGAATTGATGAGGACCGTAAGGATGGAGATCCATCCACTAAAAATCCAAAGGATAATGTCATTTGTACACCCTTTTTCTTACATCATGCTTGACATTACCATTGTTGACAATAAGTGATTGGATAAAAAAACTATTTTTTTAAAACTGTCCAGTGTACTGCCATGTGACAAAATGTAAAACTTGGTGTACATCATGATGTACACAAAGTATGATTGAAAACCAAATTGCTACAAATTTTCTTGCGTTAATTGTTGCTCAAGTTCCTAGTGATTACTCGGTGAAAACGTTAACCTAAAATTTTCTGTATCACTGTTAAATTCTAACATGGATACAAACGACGTTAACTAGTACAACAAAGTCATGATGATTATTGTCAAGGCGTAGTTCAAATACATTTTGTCCAGACGTGATCAATTTTGGTAAGTTGTCATCGATGAATTTTAGTATTTTTGTCGGCGAAATTTTAAAATTAGGGCATTTTTGTCTCACATTATGTACTAGTTACAACTATTTATGCCCAAATTGAAATTTATTAGTGACCCACTAGATTGTATCTTGCAGTATTCCCCAACTACAAAAACACCCTGTCGATGAACGGAGAGGATAGGAACAACTCTCAACGGTAACATTACACCTACCACGTTCAATCCTGATGACGACTCAATTATAGACCTTATGCAGGGCCCCTACCCTACAGCTATTTAATCACTGTCATCCTCCCCTTTCGATTAGGATTTTTCATTCTCCGCCATACACGAATCAATGTCTTGTATACTCGGCCGAACTGAACTATACACGATTTTAAAAAAGAGACTCGTATGAACATCCATAATAAGTTGTATAAGAATATAATGTTCATTTACAAAAAACTGCCATCATAAATTAAAAATTACAAAACACGACACTTATGACGACTACCATAACATGAATCGATACAAATTTTGAAACAATCCCAGGATAAAGTATACCGTTACTTTAATAGTGTGTTGGATATCATGTACAGCTACCTTGGTCAGACTCTAATGGCACCATTATTTATAGTGTTCGTATTAGGGTTTGAATCGAGTAGGGTCTCGAGAGATCGGTTTTTCCTATTGCGAGCCCTGCCTGACTCCTTTAATAACTCCGCCAGCCTCTTCTTCTCATCTTCCACATCTGGATTTGCTGTCCCGAGCTTTTCCTCTCTCATACCAACAATAAGTTCAAGAATTTCAATTGCATCATTGAATCTGTATAGAAAATAAACATTAGCAAGACTTCCTCACTTCTCAAATTGGACACTAAGGGTCCGTTTGATATCTATAATTTTCCATGGAAAATGGATCCACTTTCCATCTTTTGCCTTGTTTGACAGGCAAATTTTCCTTGGAAATTGTTTTCCCCCCAACCCTCATTTTCTTGGTTTTCATGGAATTTGTTTTTTCACCACTTTGGTGTGAAAATGGTTTTCTACCTTTTTTTATTCTTTTTGGCAATTGGAATAATTTCTATCAACAATGGTAAAAATTTTTTGCATCAATGGACAATTTCCATACAAAACATAGCCAAGTGAATGGTATTCGGTATGATAATTTTTTTTAAATTTTTTTTGCAATTGGAACAAATTCTAAACCCAATGGTAAAAAAAATTATCACTTTAATGGACAATTTCCATAAAAAACGAAGTCAAACGGACATCAAAATTTCAACATTTTCCATGGAAAATTATATCAATCGAACACAATCAATTACACCTCCCAGTAAAACAATTTTTAGGAAAATCTTTTCCCTATAAAATATTTTCTTTCCACCCATTTTCCACCTTTGCAATCAAACGGACCCTAAGAAAAACTAATTCACTCTCATCAACTCATCCTATAAACAATGTTAATCTAATATAAGGGTCTATTTGGAGTAGATTTTGCTTCTACTTTTTGTTAAAAAAAAAAAAATCTTTAAGTCGAAGCTAACTTGGGTGAATTTTCTCTTAAACCTCTTCAAACCAGACAAAGTACTTCCAGAAAATATCCAAACGGGTCAAATTCCGTGCCAAACAGACCTTAAATCCTTTTATTCTTTCGGCACAATGTAAAACTTATGTGATGCATAAAGTGATCCATTCAATCTTCATTCAATTGTTAAATATAGAACCTATAGTTCTGCATGCAAGTTTACTTCATCATCGACTTAAATAGGTTCAGGAAATATAATATTGGCTCGAGAATCCCAATTGTAAATATGAAATTTTGCAAATTTGTAACGAAGAATATTAAGATATGTGAAGTACCTCCCAATTGCATCATAGGTGCCAGCAAGATTACTATAAACTCCAAGTGTATCAGGGTGATATGGTCCGTATTCTTGCTCCAGTATGCCTCTTGCTTCTTCAAACAATTCGACAGCTTCATTAATCGCATAACGCTGCACACAAGCCAGCCCCATTTGGTTAAGCGCAATCCCAAAGAAAGCAGATTTCTTCTCCCCGCTAGCTCGGAGCTTTGTAGTCGCACTTTTAAACGAGGAGTAAGACTCCGAGTAGTTTCCCAACATATAATGCATAACTCCCATTTGCGCTTCGATTCCAGCAACTGTGTTTTGCTGACCTGGCGCATCATTGTATATCTTTAGTGCCTTCTTCAGCAACTTGAGTGCGTTCTCGAGCTCGTTCATTGACTCATAAATAGCAGAGATGTCAGTTAGACCACTAGCGATTTCTTCTGGAGCAATCCCAGGTATTGGCTTTTCGTAAATTCGAAGGGCATTCTCACAGTATGACCTCGAGTCCCTTAATTTCCCCGTCTTGTTATACAAGTCAGCCAGACGGACAAAAACTGACGCAACAGCTGGATGGTTTTCCCCTTTACTTGACTTGAGAGATGTAAGTGCTTTCTGATAAGCAAAAATCGCCTCATCATACCTGTTTAAGGATAAGTAAGTATCCCCAATGCTGCAATCAACAGACGCCACCTCGGATTCCTGCCCGTTAGCCACCATGGCCATGCTGGCTAATACAAGATGCTCGAGAGCAGTTTCGTGATCTCCCTTCGACTCACAAATCATCCCCATGAGTCTCCTATCGGCTGCTTCTTCAAGGGAAGATGGAGAACCATTCTCTCTGTGAATATCAAGAGCCATTTGACAAAGCTTCTGAGCTTCGTCAAACTGCATTGCTTGAATGTGAGCTTCAGCCAAATACCTACACGTCTCACTGACTCTTGGATCATGCTCTCCAAGAATTTGTTTTTGGACTTCCAAACCTGTCGTGTAACACGAAATTGAATTCTCTAGTTGACCCAACATTGCATAGGTATCCCCTAACTGCATATAACCAGCGAATTTAGCAAGGGCATGATCGTCGCCTTCCTCAATAGTTGGAATCTCGATCGAATGCTCCAAAATTGGGATAGCCTCATTGTACTGGCCTAAGCTACAGTGTATAGCTGCAATAACGTGTAAACACATGACAACATCTAAGCTTGGCTTCCCGTTGGAACATTTCTCAAATGACTTTGCTGCACGGAGAGCTAGCCCAAGAGCTCTTCTTGGATTATCTCCCGAAGACACTAAATCCCTTGCTTGTTTGAGCAGAAATGAACCAAGATCGGGATTGTCTAAAGCTGCTTCAGACAGATCCTTGGTTCCGCTTTGCAATTTCAGACTCCCCGAAGCTGAACTCTTGTACTTTTTTGTTTTTCCAACAGTATTCTCACTCCACGGAGGTTTCTCCAGATTTCTGCTCTTAGGACTTGATTTTGCAGAAACTTCAGATTCCACCGGCAAGTGAGAAGCCTTCCTTGATTGTGCCGAAGGGGTACTTGCACTTGCAGATTGTGAGTTATCCAACTTCGCAGCAGATAGACTCTCGTTCTTGGATCCAGAATCATCATGATAATCACCATTCTCCGGCTTATGCACCTCTTCGTCTTCTTCAATTATCTCCACCTCTGCCATCTCCCCTCCTGCAAGATGGCGCAACTCTGAATCAATCCGAGACTCCTCACCATCCGATCCAAAACTAGGCCTCGATGGTGATTGATCAGAACTCCGCATCTCACACACATTTTCATAAAGCTGCTCAATAGAGGTCTCCTCGACACCATCAACCAGGTGTCCCACGCCCCCATTTGGAGGATATTGGGAAGTCAAGCCACCATTTGCAGAGTTATTTACAACCGGATTCTGTTCATGATGTGCAGAACTTCCATTCTCATTTACTTCATGAATCCCATCCATAACAATTCAAGGTGTATGCAATAAACAAATCAACAAAACCCCCTACAAAATTCCCAAAAAACAACAATGTAAATTAGAGAAAACAAATCAAACTTGTAAATAGATGAACACTCCATTCATCAAACAAGAAAGTCTACAACAGATCCGATATTGCGTCACACCTTTATGAGAATTGACACCATTTAAACTGACTACAGAAATTATCAACAATTGATCTTCCAACTTCCAAGTGTTAAAAAGAACAACAAGATTTCTTGAATTCTCATGCAGATCTTCACATACTCAACTAAACTTATCAAGATTCAAAAAGACCCGCAAGCAAAACTCATTTTTAAGTCGAAGAAACAAGATAGTAACTAGACAAAACCAACGATGAATCAAGAAAATGACAGAACAAAGTATTAAACAGAACAAGAAAAATCAAGAAAATTAGAAACAGATAAAAGAAAAATTATACCTTTAGCAAAAGCCCAATAGAGGGTGTTTCTAGTAAATTAAGGGAGGGGAACAAAATTTGTCTTTTGGTGGATTTTCAAAGTGTGGGTCTGTCATATAGAAGAAATTTGGTGTTTGGGAGAGAATGGGACAGAGGTGGGATTTTAGAAAAAGACAGAGGGTAGAATAGGGATTTCACAACAAGGGAATTTTTAAGGCAAAGTTGCAGAGGTGGAATGTCGGACGAAAGGAGAAGGGGACTTCTCTCCAACCTTTTTTCCTTGCAACCGCCGGTTAGTTTTTGTAATGTGTTTTTGGGGTATATCTGGTGTACGCCAGGTGGCATTTCGTGATTGGTAATCTCTTGAATTGACTTTTATGCCCTTTGAATTTTGTGGTTTGATATTTCTAGAATCTAGATGGAAATGTTACAATTGGTTCACGTCCATTTGAATCCCAACTTTATTTGTGAAAATCAGGATTAGGCTCCTAATCTTTTCAATTTGTGTCATTTTGATTCTTAACCTTTAAAATTGAAGTTTTGAGTTCTTCAATTTATTTAAATACGTGAATCTGAATCTTTACATTTCCCAGACCATCAATGTAGAAGATAAAATTGTAAATAATTTTCCGTGAGTTAATATTGAAAGGTAAAGTCGTCAAATCACTTAACATCCAACTCTAAGTTAGAAGTAAGTCACTCGAAATTTTAATGGGAAAATTCAGATAAGCGCAACGAGCAAGCACAAAGAATATAGTCTCTACCTTTTTTATTTTCTCATTCTAGGGGTGTACATAGACGAGATCTAAATTTACATAATTAAATTAATTATGTTAGTTGTAAATTCTTGAGTTACATTGTAAATGACACTGCCCTTATGTAGATGAAATCTGACCATTTTGATTGAAAAATGTGGTGTTAAAATTAATGTACAAAAACTATCACTTCACATAATGTCAAATTTGATGTATATGTGGCAAAACTGCAATTAAATAGGTTGTGACTTAAACTTCACATTTAAATGTTAGTGATCCAAAATTACAAGATTTGAAAGGTTGGGAGCCCCACCAAAACAAAAAATTCCCAATTTATTTTCCTTGATATTTTGGTATTTGACCATTTAATTCTTTTGTTCATATTCTTGTTGATTGAAAACCGCCGATCAAGCCATTAAAGTCAGAGTAGTGCTATTTAACACCAATGTTATTTAGACACTGTCTGCCATAGCTTTTCAGCAAATTTAAATTGATTTTTGAACTGTTGCCAGTCTTTTTAGTTGACTTTGCCTCTCACATGTGGGCTCCACTTGGCATCTTAACGGTCCAAAAATGACTATTAATCCCTTGGAAAATCTGCAGCAGACAAGCACTTAACATCAATCTAGATTGCAGCACTTGTGACATTAAATTAGATGTTTAATTAAATGAAAGGCATCGTGACTAATTTAGTAGGACTTATGATATGCTGATACCTAAATTGATGTTTAACACCACTAATAGATAGCATTATTCTTAACGTCGTGTGGAAATACATATGAAAATAACGTTTAAGAATAAAGTAATTTAATACGCATAATTTCAATGAACAAAATAAAGAAAATCTCTAAACTAGACGTCCTTCTCTCAAAACTCAGTTGGAATCAATTTTCTATTCATTTTGACCTCTTGCTCGTGCTCATACCTTTTCATCTAAAAATATAATCCTACTGCTTGCATTCCCCTTCCCCATGTCAACAATTATTCTACATCTCTCGCCCCACAATTTGGATTTTTTCCACCTACGCTGGTTCCCTTCTCTATCGTGTGTATATGTCCTTGTGGTAAAAGATCAAATGACAGTGCTTGTGTCATAGGAGATTGATGTAACGAGTTAAAATGAGAAGTAATATCATAGTAAAACTAATTGTTCAATGATTCGTAAGGAACACTCAACTTTTCAATCACACATTTCACTAACTTTTATCTTTTGTACTAATTTTTTTTTTTTTTTATCTAAATCAAACTTTGCTGAATACGTCACAAAAGTCGTTGGAACAAAGTCGAGGGAAAATATTTATATATTATAATAAAATCAAAGATGAGTGACCTTTCTCTTTTGCTACCCTGTATTGGATATGGAATCCAATAAAATTGGTACCTTTTTGCAAAGTGGAAAAATGTTTAATAATTTGGTTAATTAATCATTTATGATTCCCCCAAGTGGACCTCCAGTCTTTGACGATAATGCATAATACCTTCCACAAATATTCAAAAATTAATTAATCCATTAATATGTGTATCCATTCTTTAATTGGACAATTATTGCAAAGTAAGGACTCAATGTTTCAATATGTGGATAGCCACTAATAAATGCATTTACTTTCTACTGACTTAAATAAAGTTACAAGATTGAATTACAGAATCACAGGATTATTCATAGACATAAGCTTGATGTGTCGATTAATTTTTTTTTTTTTTCAATTATAAAATGTGTAATTTCTTTTGACAAAGAGAAAAACTGAAATATTTGAAAGAGAAAGTAAAGAAGATAATCGAGGAAAAAAGTATTTCAAAATAGTGCGATATCAGGAAAAATAAGTTCATGAAGAGCACTAGTCAATTTTCTTTTTTGCATCAAAGAGGCCAAGAATAACAACTTCTTTGGTACACGCCATGATATAAACTGTGATTCATTTTCAATGCTTCGTAGACTTACAATTGACAACACTAGTCAATTTTCTTTTTCAAAAACTCCAAAACTTCGTACCTTGTTCTGTTTCTCTAA